AGACTGCAATGGTTTTGGTGCTGGGATTGCTCCCTATAAGCCAAAATGAGAGTGTTAATGTTAATATAATAGTATTTTTTATAACAAGGTGAAAAACAATATTATATTTGAAAGTTAATAGCAGAAATGTGAACTGAAGCTTAAAAAGTATAATTTCAAATTTCTAATTTTTAAAACTTTACAACAACCTACCAAAATTAAATGTTTAATAGAATGTTTAGAGATTGACTGAAAGTTCTGTCCGTTTATTAGCAATATACGGTTAACGCCAAAACAAAGGTTATTGCAATCATGACTCATTTTAACTGTTGCTGTTAATTGGTTTGTTTTACTGTAATAGTCATTTAATGTTTGTTTGGGCAATGGTAATACAGAAATTAATAAAGTCTTCGTAGACAGTACACATAAAGGTTCATTATAAGTTCATTGACAAGCTATAACACAAGTGACACACACTGCGTTATCATCAAAGTGCAAATCAGACAGGGTGACTTCCTACTAATCTCTGATTAAAGAGAAAGGAATTAGACAAAAAAAAATACTTTATTGTTCTCTTTAGGTGTATCCTATTTGCTTTGCGGCTTCTCTCTAAAACCGGAATTGCACAAGCATGTTACCTTTTTTGTAATGCAATTTAACTACCGTACATTCTGCTAAATAAATTGTAATAATGTATTCATCTATATAGCTGCATTAGCTTACATTTGCATGTATTCAGGGCAGGTGCTACCTGTTAGGCGGACTAGGCAGCCGCCTAGGGCGCCGGCCCCCCTCATGCTGCAGCCGCCCGAGCGCTCTGTACAGGGCCTCAGGCGGCTGCAGCTTTGCCCTGGCTGGTGTGTCCATGAGGGCGCAACGCCCGGGCGCAGCATGAGGAGAGGGGCTGACACGAGTGAAGCGCTCAGCACTCCCTCCTGTCACTCCCTCACTGTAGCGTGGCCGAAGCTCTGTACGCGGGTACAGGGAGCATCTGTCTCCTGTACCCGGCCGGACTAACAGGAAGTGCACACCCAGTGTGTACTTCCTTTTAGTCCGGCGGGGTACAGGAAACAAAAGCTCCCTGTACCCGTGGACCATACAGAGCTCGGCCACGCTACAACAGTGGTAGGAGGGGGGGGAATAAAGAAATTGGAAGGGGGGGATGAAGGAAATTGGAGAGGGGGGAGAAGGAAATTGGAGAGGGTGGAGAAGGAAACTGGAGGGGGGAGAAGAAGGAAATTGGAGGGGGGAGAATGAAATTGGAGAGGGGGGAAAAAGCAAACTGGAGAGGGGGGAGAAGGAAATTGGAGAGGGAAGGGAAAAGAAGGAAACTGGAGAGGGGGAGAAGAAGGAAACTGGAGAGGGGGAGAAGGAAACAGATTCACACAATGCATTCCTTACACACATCAGGACATCCCCTACACACTCCACCCCCTGTGAACAAACTCATTGGTTGAACATGAAGGTGGACCCTGGGACCCAGACCTTGAGCTGTGTAAAGGGCCCCCAAAAAATGGAGCTGCTTCCCGTTCTCCCAGAACATTGATTTTTGTGACCACAGTTACTAACCGCCTCCAGAGAGCCTGTTGTACACCAGACCAGTGGAGCCAGACGGCAGCTAGAGCCCATCATCATCCTCATCTGGTTGTAAGTAGGCAAACTAGTATATTATTCATGGCACTAATCTCTAATTTACCTCACATTAAAGAAACACTATAGTCCCCAGAACCACTGCAGCTTAATGTAGTGGTTCTGGTGTCTATAGCCTGTCCCTGCAGGCCTTTTAATGTAAACACGGCGGCACTGCAGCACTGGCGTTAGTTAACATGGCAGATCATAGAGGTGGGGCATTGTTGTCATTGATGTCACATGGGGGGGGCGGCAAACTTTACTTTTGCGTAGGGCTGCAAAAATCCTTGCACCGGCCCTGCATGTATTCATGTCATATATTTTTGGCTTGCTAAAGTTTCAGGAACATCCTGTGGGCTTGATGTTAATATTACCCAATTTCACAGTTCTTGTTTTATTGACCTTAGAACGACTGTGTTAACACTGCTGGGATTTGAACTTGTGATTCTGACACACTGCTCGGTTACGTGAGTGAACTATCCCATATCGAGATTCCATATTTTTTTATTGTATTTACTGTTGTTTCAATATATTAAATGAACAGCGGATATCTTGTAAACACATTTATTAATTAATGAAAAATACTCACTGGTGGACCCATAGGGGTCTTGAGAGGTTTAAAGATTTTAGCCTTTAGTCCCACTCACTACACGACCAGGCCTGTTAGTTTGCACCCAGATCTTTCTAATTCTTGTACAAAATTAGATATTTTAAATTGTTAAAGAATGGTCATAATAATGGAGGGCTAAGTAGTCATGTTAATGGAAGACTAAGGCTCAAAGCATTAAACGAAACATAGACTCCTTGTAATGCAGGCAGAAAGTCAAGTTGCAAGATGGCAGACAAAGCACAAGTGCAATAAGAACTGTGTAACAGTGTGTTACAAGCTAATGTGTGACATGGCCCACCACCACAAACACAGTCCACTCACACACACACAAACACTGCAAAGCTCAATGTGCAGTCTGAAACCCACGTTACCATGATCCCAGCTACTAGACTTGAGACAAGGACAAATTAACCAAAAATCTCTCTGTAGGAGGCAGGTAGGGAGATGCCTACCTGTCATGATACAGTATGAGTATATATATTTTAAGCTAGTGAATAGACTCTAGTGAATGTTAGTTTAGCCTTTTTGGGGGGATTTGAGTGGGATTTTATCCATACTGGGTTTTTTGGGGGGATATGAAGATTTTGAAGTACAGTATATAAGTATATAAAAAGTCTGTTTGCACTATTGAACACACTTTCTACATGTTAGTTTTAGCACTGTTTTTTGATGCACTTTGAATATTGTGACACCACTATTTTTGGTTTGGTTTTATATAGATACACATTTTATGTTAAGTATTTCCTGATAATCCAAATGTTGCCCCCTCATTTTAGCTGTATTTTGAGTATCACCAGTCTCTTCTTTTGTCTAGCATTGGGATTTCAGTGAAATTGGAGGGGGGGAGGGGATGGGGGGGCATAGTAAGTTAGGGACAGGGTACTATAGCATTAGAAGTACAGGTTTTGTTAGGGTTTCCGAATTAAGGAGAATTAAAAAATAAAAATAAGGTTAAATAAAGGGACAAAAACGATTAGTTGAAAAATAAAGCATGCAAATTGACAGTGCTCATTTCAATAAAAGTACCTTACACATTTGTTTTAATATACCGGTACTTAAAATGGCACCAGTTTTGTTGTAAAATATATGGCTCCCAATATAATAACATTATATCAGCATGTTATCAGGCAATAAAAACAGCAAAACTCGAACACACTTAGAACACAGATTTATGCACATATAATTTTGTGCAGTCAGAATGTATTTTTTTCCATTGACAAGTTTTTATTTGACATGGATTGTCTTTTGAAAAATAAATCACAGCTCTTAGTCTTCACAGGCAATATTTACATAAAGGTTGGCAACATTATTATTTGCCATATTCACAGTAGGTGAGATGATTAAGATTCATCCCTCATGCTTGTGGAAATTTGCATATTTCTATCATTTGCATATTATGACTAAAACAAATGACAACAGTGGGAGTCTGTCACAAGAATATCGGATTATGTGAAATGGAACATTTCCAATCCTGAGGGAACACGAAAATATGATTATAAAAGATTCTGTGAAGTGTACATTTATAGAATGTACAATTAAATCGAATAAGAAGTGTACGATTATAAGAATCATTGAAGTTTAAATTTGTCTTTTCATATGTGTGGGTTTTTTTTGGAAAGTACATTTTATAAATGGCTGCCAAAGAATTATGGGAAATGTTAGAGGCCCAGGCACATTCCGCGTGGTGTCAGAAATATTTGTGTCTTATTCTTTATTTAGATCTTCACTTATTACATTGTTAGGTTTATTGGTTTTTTTATGACTTTCCGTCATGCAGAAACTTTATAGGTACTCTCCACAAGTGTTCATTCTATTAAAAACTAAGAAGAGAAATACAAGGAAACTGGTCCAGGTGATTAAACAAAATCACTATAAATACCAAGCCCTGGTTTGCAGCTAAAGTACATTCATAGTATTTCTCTTCCAGTTTGTATATAACAGGATGTCTACTTTCCCCAGTCTATTGAGATAGTGAGTGACAAACAGGTTGCACCAGAATTCTTTTCAACACAATGAGCACTCTTGTATCAAAGAAAGTGTCTCTGGCACAAAACCAAACTTATGTAAAAATTGGTTAACCAGTGTTAACACACTATCGTGCAAGTGCAATCAAAATCTGATGTATTTATCTTAAATATATAGACGCTCCTCACTCACTGACCAGGTTCCGTTCTTAAAACAAATTGGTCGGTAAGTGAGAATGAGATACAGAGCATGCACACCAGTGCAGGTCTATGTTCAGGGAAATTTCCCCAAACATAGAAAAGTGAATCAGAGCAGGGAATCGCTCAAATCTTTGTGCGGGGAAATTTCCCCAAACATAGAAAAGTGAATCAGAGCAGGGAATCCCTCAAATCTTTGTGCGGGGAAATTTCCCCAAACATAGAAAAGTGAATCAGAGCAGGAAATCCCTCAAATCTTTGTGCGGGGAAATTTCCCCAAACATAGAAAAGTGAATCAGAGCAGGGAATCGCTCAAATCTTTGTGCGGGGAAATTTCCCCAAACATAGAAAAGTGAATCAGAGCAGGGAATTCATCTAATCTATGTTCGGGGAAATTTCCCCAAACATAGATTTGAAAGATTCCCTGCTCTGGTGTACTTGTCTTATTTTAGAGTAGCCATGCTAGAGCACATGATATCGAGTAACAGAGCCACACAACTTGATAGGCATTTATGCCTTGTGGGTTGCTAAGGAATCCCGCACCATATGATACAGGAAAGTCAGATAGGAGAAAACATACGAAAATAAAGATAAAAAGCACAAAACTAATAACGAGATATGGCTAAGTAAGCTCGACAATGGCAGGAAAGTGTCCTCTGATGTTAGGGCACTCACAGCGTGGATGGTAGAGGTGCAGTGAGGTGTTTGGCAGCCATCATTCGGCCTAGTTGGGATAACTGTAGATGGGATTTCTGTGGTAGGCAGAGCTATTCGGAGAGTCAAAAATGGGTCGCAAGAGAATAGGCAGCAGCTGAAATAGCCTGTCCTTCGGTCGGTCCCCGCTCAGTTCTCAAGCTGATTTTTACTCATCTTGTGCCATTACAGAGAGAACATATCTGAAACATATCAGACTGGTCCCACCGATACGGGCAGTCCAGATCCGAAATGCCAGCAAGTTCTCTCCGCACGAGAGATACAGCAACCCCAGACGATCGTTTCAGCCTTGTTAGGCATCAACAGTGAGGCATAGCTGATATCTCCCTAGGTACCATGAGCAAGGGGTCCACGTCTGGATTATCCCTTTAAACTTGTGGAGAGTCAAAAATGGGTCGCAAGAGAATACTGAGAACAGGCAGCAGCTGAAATAGCCTGCCCTTCGGTCGGTCCCCGCTCAGTTCTCAAGCTGATTTTTGCTCATCTTGTGCCATTACAGAGAGAACATATCTGAAGCATATCAGACTGGTCCCACCCATACGGGCAGTCCAGATCCGAAATGCCAGCAAGTTCTCTCTGCACGAGAGATACAGCAACCCCAGACGATCGTTTCAGCCTTGTTAGGCATCATCAGTGACGCATAGCTGATATCTCCCTAGGCACCGTGAGCAAGGGGTCCACGTCTGGATTATCCCTTAAAACTCGTGGAGAGTCAAAAATGGGTCACAAGAGAATACTGAGAACAGGCAGCAGCTGAAATAGCTATTCCCACACCCTTTCAGTGTCTACTCTCCAACTTCCCCTCCTGAGGCTGCTGTGAGACATGCGATTCTCCAGCTCAGTCAAGAAATGGGTAAAGAGTGTGTCCAAGTGTTGCAAAAATTGCTCTATTGAGCCTTGGAGAGTCCCCTGTTACTGCATAGAGGCGCTCAGTTGAGCTGTAGGCATGTCCGCCATCTTGCCGATATTCGATGCATAGATGTTACCCAGGAGGGTCTAGAGTGAGGAGGATACAGGGTTTGCCATCTGTCCAGCTGGCGTAGCTCCGCCGACGAGTTCGGCCACCACTCCCAGTCAGGACCACACCAGGCCACAAGAACGTTGGTTACGGGAATTTCATCCACAGCAGCAAGATTGCCCAAGAAAGTGCACAGCTGTACCTAGGCACTGGAAGGTGCACCTAGGCACAGATGGCAAGATTGCATTCGGGCAACTCGATTAGAGGCTTATTTTCGTGAAGAGCTCCCTCATAATGCATCTGTCCTGCTCGGCGGCCAACCTCCCTTCCCCCCCCGCCCCGATCCAGTTCAAGTTCCAGTTCATTTACAACCATTTCTGTGAAAACTGGAATAAACTTCCCTTTATCCCAAACTGGGTAAAACTTGGGTTTTCGTTTTAAATTTGCGTGTTTTATTCTATTTTCTTTTTCCATTTCCCATCCATTTCTTGATCCTTTTTCATAGCTTTATTTTATTCAAAATGTCTCTTTCTCATTAATTTCCATGCTTTTTTTTGTATATCCATAAACACCTCAAAAGAATCAAAATAAATTTTTAAAATTAAAAACATTGGCTTTTAATAGTTTAACTCATGAATAGCATATACTTGCCTTTATGAATTAATATGTATGTTTTTTATTATTCCTCTTCATTTCACATACCATTTTTACCTTGTTTTGTTAAACTGTCTTGAATGTAGATGTATATTGATATAATTTAGGATATTTGTTAGAGTATTTATGTTTAGAATTAATACATATTTTTCGTGACATGGAATAGTTTTGTGTATGTCATTTTCATTTTCTCTTCCAATTGAATGCAGCAGTTTTTTATGTATGGGTTCGGGTATATATTTTATATATACATATTGTGAGTGGTTCTTTATTTATATTTAAGGTAAATACATCACATTTTGATTGTGCTTTAGTGTGTTAACTCTGGTTACCAATTTTCACACAAGTTTGGTTTTGGGCCAGAGACACTTTCTTTGAAACATGTTTGACTCTTGGAATCAAAAGAGGCCATTCCGTCTTCTTGGCAGCAATAATATTACACTTTGGATTTTGTGGTTTTTTTTGTTTTTTTTTTATATGCACAATGAGCACTCTACTCAGATATGCTTAAAGGAGCACTATAGTGCCAGGAAAACAAACTTGTTTTCCTGGCACTATAGGGTCATTAAGTCCCCCCCGCCCCACACCCTCAGGGGCCCCCTCCCGCTGGGCTGAAGGGGTTAAAACCCCTTCAGCCACTTACCTTTCTCCAGCGCCAGGCTCTCTCCTCCCCCTGCCGACGTCAGATCCGAATGCACATGTTCAGCAAGAGCCGCGTGAGCATTCAAACAGCCCATTTGAAAGCATTACTCAATGTACATCCAGCGTCTTCTCACTGTGATTTTCACAGTGAGAATCGCGGAAGTGCCTCTAGCGGCTGTCAGTGAAACAGCCACTAGAGGCTGGATTAACCCTCAGTGACACATAGCAGTTTCTCTGAAACTGCTATGTTTTCAGCTGCAGGGTTAAAACTAGAGTGACCTGGCACCCAGATCCCTTCATTGAGCTGAAGTGGTCTGGGTGCCTATAGTGGTCCTTTAAGGAACTTTGATGTTCATTGCCAAACATAGCATTCACTGATCAATTTGATGCCTTCGGAGACGGTGATGGCCACGATCCCTCCTAGTTTAGAGCAACTAAGTCATCCATTAGTGAAGCTTCTAATTACATAATGATAAAAAAAAAAACTGGAGCAACTATGACGCATATTGGATTACATTAAACAAACTGCTGGCATTCGAGTCAAAGGGGAATATTTATCAAGGCAAAACAAGTACTATTTTAGGTCCAAGTGTTAAATAAGGGCCAATCACTATAGAAACCAACATATTATCTTTCAACAGTTAGCACTCTACACCCTGCATAGCAGCTGTTTGCTTTGATAAATCTTTTCCAAAGTGCTAAATTAAAGAAGCAATCTCTCTAAAAAAACAACCAAATGTTTCTGCTCCAAAAAAGCAATTTTTCCCTGACCTGTTCCAGCTTTGTATAGATAATTTTATATATAGACATAGCTCATAAATCACAATGGAAGAAAATAATGAATGTCTCATGTCTCTAAAAAAAATCCTCAGGTTTCAGCAAACTCTGTAGTGAGCAGGAAGTGGCTGAAATATATATTTACTATTAGAACTCTCCCACTGAAAAAATATGGGGAAGCGCTGCTCCTGTGGGTATGATGTCACTTGTGCAGTCAATCCTGATAGGATTCAATACAGTGGTGGAACTAACAAAAAGAGTGTCCTGGTGAAAGAATTTGTGTGCCCCTCCCCTCACTGTACACCCCAATCGCAAGGATGACCAAAGGTAAATACCCATCTGTCATACAGGTCCCACAATGATTTGTCAGATGGGGTCTACCATTTGGCAATCCTGGCATGGGCTGTATTTAGCAATGAGCAGTGTCTGTGTGTTTGAATGGTTTTTTGTGTGGAGTATGTGTGTGAATGTAGTTGTGTGTTTTTATATACTGTTGCCATTTGAAAGAAGTGGTGTACTTGTGTGTAGTGTTTGCTTTTGAATGAAGGGGTGTTTTGTATTTAGTGCTGTCGTTTAAATACAGGCATGCATTTGTCTGTAGGATTGGTTTTTGAATGCATGGTTGTGTTTATATATAATGTTGGTGTTTATTACAGTTATGTATTTGTGTGTAGACTTAGTGTTTCAATGCTGAGATGTATGCACACATGACATACACATACTGCCACACACAGACACATTGATACACATACACACACATATACACACTGACATATACAAATACACATACTAACACATGTGCAGATACACACAATGAGATGGCAGATACAGATACAAACACTCAACACTAATGCAGATACACAAACGCAATGAAACACATACAGATACACAGACACACAGAAAAACAATGACAAATTAATACACATACAGATACACAAACATTGACACACATAGAGAGACAGAGACACACAGAAATACACAATGACACATATCCAGACATGCATGCTTTTGGGTGCGGGAGGGTGGCTTCTGGTGGCTGGCGCTGTTGGGAATCTCTCCCAGTTCTCTCCTTCCTTCTCTCTACCTCTCCCTCCCACACAGATCAGTCTTTTACCTGTCTGTTAGACCGGGTCTCATTTTCTTCCAACTTTGGCCTCCAGTATAAGAGGGCACATGCCCACCGAGTGGCCCTAAATGTATGGGACACCCGTAGGGTTCCCTGAGCATGCGGGCACCAGTGCAGCTTAACCGGCGTTAATTCCATTGCTGATTCAATGCACATAAATATATCAACAGTTTGTCCAGATTCTAGGGGATATTTATCAAACTGTTCCATTCTAAAAAATATTCTAAAGCAATAATAGGAGCCATCATTACAGAAATCATTGGAACCAGCACGTACATTCCTATGATGACTCCTCTTCTTTTATATCTTTGCAACACTTTTTAGAATAGAACACTTTAATAAATTCCTACTTAGAAGCCTGTTTGTTTTTCTTTTTTGTTTAGCTGAGGTGCTGAGAAAACCACAGATTAAAAAGCTTTAATCATTTAAAGACACATGACATGTGTGACATGTCATGATTTCCTTTTATTCCAGAAGTTTGGTCCTTAAGGGGTTAAAGGATACATGTACTTGTTTTTTCACTAATGCTCTTTGGACAGAGCATGATATTTCTGCTTCACATTTAGCTAGCAGTTTTGCTAGCAAATGCATAGATTGGGAGAAAATAGAATCTTTGCCTACGATTTGACTGGCAAATCGGAAAGGACCTCCCATAGAAGGTCCTTCTGCTCCCATAAGCATAGCAACCACAGCGCATGTACCACGATTGCTATGGTAACTCCCTAGCCAGCGCCACTGACATTACTTTGTTACCCCATTCACTAAGGAGGTTTGCCCCGCTTGGGAAATTGTTACCATGCAGGGCAAATCACAGAAGACTGCAGGAGGAGCAGAGGAGAGACCGGAGGTGGGTGTTACATGAAGAGTACCACCAGCAAAGCTAAGGAATAGGCGGCACAGAAACAAGGCATGATGAGTTGTTCAGGCACAGGTAGTGGCCCTTTAAATACCAAAATACTCATCAGAATCATCTTATAAGTATTTCAGCCATAGAACTGGCAAATGAGATGTGCTGATTGGTTACATAGGAGCAATACCCTTTAATACATTCAGCTAAGAACAAATAGACAAAATAGAAAAAAAAGCCTCTTTCACTTTCCTTTTTTTAGCATTCTGTCCTTTGGTAATATATAAATAACTGCTAGAGCCCTGATCATGCACTGGTACAATCATGACATTTGCATCCATAATACTTTACTGTGCCTGTAGTTGTTCTTGTTGTTGGGACACATTCTTAAAGTGTCTACATGAACATAATTTCAAGAACAGACAAGGGCTTTGCAACTGAGTTGCCATGAGTAATGATACTCAATGATATTCGATGCAGATTAAATTAAAAGAATACAGCAACATTCTGAGGATACGGCATGTTCATTCTGTGATTGAGTCTCCGAGTAGTGATGTCAGTTTTGAAGCAGTGTATAGAAGTATTATTCAGAACACTGCTTCAAGCAGCTACCAAGACACGTCACTGGAAAAAACCTGTTAGTATTTAACGGAGTGTCTTGTTAATGTCACAAGTTATGAATGGCTCACTGTTAACTAGTCAAATTAGATCTTTTTAAAAAGAATTTTACACTCTCAGTTACGCTTTGATGGTTCTGCTGTTTCAGAATATCCTCTGACTTACATAAAATTATTTTTTGTGTATTTGCCAGTTAAGCTATGTTTTCCAGACAGTCATTCGACCACAACATTTCATTTTCTCTCAATAGCACAGTGGATTAATAAACAAGATACCGAATAAATTAATATATAATTTAAAAATAACATTGTATATCTTTAACATTGCATTTCTTTACTGCTACAATTCCTTGTATATGGTAAAAGGCTGATTTGAGTAAACTCTATGGAGCCATAAGGCTGAGAAGCATGGTTCTATCACAGTTAAAAAAAAAAAAAAAGATTAATCATGAAAGGGCTATAGGCAACTACTCATAGTATTGAAGGAAGCTCAAAAGTTATTAGCCTTTAGAGAAAAACTAGGACAACTGTAGGAAAAGACAAACAAATATCTGTATATGAGTACACACATTTATAGACACAGATATACAGGCATATAATCACACAAAGATTCATACAAGTAAACACACTTGGAGATGCATATACAGGTACATAATTAAAGATAAATACTTACACATACAAATACTCATGGAAACACATACGGTCATCATTCACATGTACAGACAGGCACATATTCACACACATGCATACATAATTACATGATTACACATACACTACCAGGCTACGCACATAGAAACACTAATGCAGTCACAATTTAACAGGCACACAGAAACAGTCAAATTATCAGATAGGCACATACAGGCATATAATCACAAACACACACATATACAGGCACATGATCACAAACACACACACACACAGGCACATAATCACAAACACACACACACAATTGTACATAATCACAAACACACACACACGTATTCATATTTTTTTAAAGTGTCTTCTCTGATTTTAACTGAATTAGCAGCTGATATATTAAGATATATTACCAAGTTTAATGGCCCTCGGCCTACCAGCCTCAGAAAGATGACCCTGCTAAAAGTTTAACCTGTAATCCTGAGGTTTGAACAAGTTCTTCAGTTGAGAAACCGGATTTCAGATACATTTTTTATCACTTCAATTCAAAATTCTAATGCCTAACCTAATTACATTTAAAAAATTACAAAAAAAACCCCACTTTTTTTAATAAAAAGAATTAGTGAAGCATCAACCAAAGCCATTGAACAATCAGATGGAAAATTCTGAATATCTTCTTTTGAGGGGTCTGGCATAACTTTAGCTTCAGTGGCATACCTCCAGAAGTCTCTGGTGAATTATAGTTCATAGATTGTTACTTGGCATCACTGTCCCGAATTCTTTACGTATCACAAAATATTAGTGTCTGCAAAGTAGCTTTATACTTCTCTATGAAATCCTGAATGTGGGCATCTCACTACGTATACAAAATAGTATAAGACCTCTCAGTATGTTGAAAAAAGAGGAGACCAAATATACAAACGGTTTAAGCACAAAACAGAGAAATATTATATAACCAAAACTGTCAAGTAAGTGTCTCATCTTAACCAAGAATTACATTGAGGAGAAGAAGATCACAAATTCTAAATTTGATACAGGTACAGGCTGTTATAATAAAAAAAAAAATTGGAACAAATATATTGTTCACTACCAAGTTAAAAAAATACATATATTTACACGTGGATTCAATTTTCGACAGTGTTATTATTATCATCACCTACCATCTAATGTACTTTGTAGATCCTAACCTCTCACAGCTCTCCATAGTGTATAACAATACAGATGCTGAAAGAGTTTCTAACAAATACCAACAAATTCCAGATCAATGATGTTGCACTAGCACTTCACAAAAACCTAATTATCCTTTTCACCATCTCACTTATTTAACAGAAATTCCATAAATCCATAATGAGATCTTCAAGCCCCAGGTGGCTAAGGCCACATGGAATGTCACTTATAGTTTAAGGAGTTATACATTTTTATATTGCCACCGGCATACTAGTAAAAACTCGGTACTTACTATACCATAACTGATTAATAAGATGTGGAGATTCGCCTTTAAGGAGAAAGTGATTGATTTGAGTTTTTTACAAACCAAGCTACTTTACGATAGAATATACCATAAAGTACAGAGATTGTCAGTAGCAGTTTGCTGTACCATTGACTGCAGTCTATTGGAAAAAAAAGATTTGCTCCCATTTTGGCACACCATATTTAGGATTTTGTATACCACTGTAAATTATGCAGACAAATAAATGATTGGAATGCTAAAAAAAATAAACATATTTAAGCTTCTTATGATAATCTGGTACATGAAGAGAAAAAAAAGTAAATCGTAAAGTCGTATTTACAAATCGTATGTTTTATTTTTCACTAGGTTTTTGCAAATCTAATTATCATAGGGGGTCCATTCTACGTTGCTGAGTGAAAATGCACCCTTATATACGTGTGTAATTAATCATCCATCTACTTAAAAGCACTCATATCAAGTGGAGCATGATAACTCATGTAATAAAACAAAAATAAAACGAAAAATATGAAGATTTGATATTTCATGCAAATGTTCAGATTTATCAAAATATACAAATGTTCAGCAGTAGATAAAGGGGAGATTTTTGTTGATGCACAAAAAAAAACAAAGAAAGAATAAAATAAAGTCTACAAAATAGGAGACATTACGGCACCCTTAAAAAAAGTTACCATGTATCATACCATTGCTTGTTAGATAAATATCTTAATACCCCTCCAACATAAATGGTTACATAAGAATATGCTTTGCAAATTATTTAAACATAATTTGTCCAAAAAGAGCCATGAACATTTAAACCAAATAAATTGACCTGTACAATACACTCAGATTGGTCCTGTATAGAGTCTGCATATTATATCAGAGGCTGCTTCATTTAACAGTAATGTTTCATTTTCTCATTCGCCATTTAAAAAAACAAAAACAAAAAAAAGATGCAGTCTTCTTAAACAGACACTCTAAGCACCTCAAGCACTAGAGCTTGTTGTAGTGGTTATGGTGCGATATCTCATTGGGCACAGAACCTTTATTTATTTATTTTTAATGATAGATTTTCAAGCAGTTTGACAAAGATCGTCTCACTTGCAGCACCTAATTGCCCTGCTATTCTGCTATAACAACCTGTACAAATGTGGATGGCAATGGCAGGCTCTGAGTACTGGGTCGACTTAGTCCAGTGACCCCAGCCTATTATCGCCATCCAAACATGTAAGGAGAATACACATGTGAATCATCCACTCATCTCAGCAGCAGCAGAAGAGGATCTGGACTTTGGGTGCTGACAAAGCAAATAATTTTGCCAAACTGTATTCAAAGATACTTGTGGTTTAGCCACTACAATAAGTTGTAGTGGCACTGGTTAAGAGGCTTAGAGAGTCATTTTAAATATCAAATTTAATAAGTTTAATGGATTTTTGCACGTGTCATTTCACCACGAAGAGGTTACAGTCTGTTCCGCGTGTTTGGCTGCCGTAATCTTGACAGAACGAAGAGGCCAAATTTTGCCGTACGCAGAAAAAAAAATGGGAATTATCAACCTGACCAAACCAAATGATTACATCCCTCTGTTTGAATTGCATCTTCTGCCCAAAATGTGTTGTATTTGATTCCGTATAGCCTTCTGGATTGCTTGGCAGTGAAAAAATAAATATTTCATAAGGCTTAACACAGGGTATTGAGCTCAACGGAAAAATGCATATTGGTGTCCACCATTGTGTTGAAAGAAAAAGAATCATCTTCTACTTCTCTCTCGTTTGATGCTTTACAAAATATTGAAACCTCCATTGAATAAAAAAAAAGAGAGAGTCGACAAGGCATGTAGTGTATTTGAAGAACATGGCTTTCAACTCTGCAAGATTAAACTCATACTGAAAGTATTGGCTTGTGCGCAGTCGTGTTTGGCAAATAGCGGAAAACAAAGTAATTAAATAGTTAACAGCGTGTTATGTCCTCACATCTTTCCTGTGTGTGAGATGCCAACTATGTTTCATGTTCATAGACATCCTCCCGTGCAGGAAGAGGGTGATATCAACCGCATAACCTCCATAATCTGGCCATAGTCCACTGTCTGCCATCGTAGATTTTGCAACATTTTGAATGTAGTATTAGACACGTTGAACAAAAAAAGACTCTTTATACCCCATAAAGTGCTTCTTAAATTCAACCTGCAAAAGAGTAAGAGAGCTGATTAGAGATACCAAACACAGAAGTATGAATGATAAACATCAGATTACAGGCCTGGTTTCGTGTTCCAGGACACCATAGTAGCCTTCAAAACACATGCGTAAAATCAGTAACTAGATTATCGACACAGTACAACATTTTATCACTACTGCAGATTAACTGTGCTGTTTTGTTTATTTCATTTACGCTAGTCTTTAAGTGCACATCCAGTTTACACTTACTGATATAATCCTTATTTATTTCTTCTTAAAAAGTATTTGGCATATCTTTTGAAAATTGACATGGAAATATTATTTTAATTGATGGCAAATTATTTTGAAGGCATCTTCCCATATTAACTGTATACAGATAGCTCCATCTAACTTCATAATTGGAGGGGTAGGTAGTATGGGAAAGGAACAAAAAGTATTGCAAGGGATACAGTCACTGTCACCTTATCAACTCTGCTAGAGTAAAAATTACATTTCTTATGTAGTATGTTCAACTGGGTCTATAGGTTGTCAGCAACTGGATTGAGATGCACAGATAGAGGCTTGCTTGACATTTTTAGCAGATAAGAACATTAAAGCACCTACTTTAAGTTTTCAGCTACAACAAAGAGTTTTTAGATAAACTTTTATCCTAGAGGCCTAGGGAGATAAGGATTGTAGACTTATCTTACAGTACCAGGTGCAATAAATTGTGCTCTTACGTAAATACATGGAAGTTAAAGATTCACTTTTGTTTCACGTTTTTCAGGTGCTAGTACATATATACATACATATATAGGTCTATAATATGACTATAAATATACCAAGTCTATAATATGAAACAAGAACAGCCAGGTTGGGCTAAACCTCCTCATACCAAAAATAAAGAACATTTATGTCAACCATAAGTGTTATGTTGACATGAGGAATTCAATACAAACGTGAGTCCAAGGATAATCCAATATTAAATATAAGGAAAGTAGGATGCTATATGGCCAGAATGAATGAGTTACATACAGACAGGTGTAATTGTAAAACTATCAAGCAGGTAGAATGTCCAGGAATAAGCTCTAGGAGGTCAGACATCAGATGAGTGAGAGGACAAGTCGAGTCAAGAATCACAGAGAGCAGAACAAAAAAAATAAATAAAGCTGGATCAGGTATCAAAAAGACATAATACAAATGTGACAAATGCGTAAATGTAGGCAGAGTCCACAAATTTGTATTTAGATTGCTGTTCAGGTACACATAAAAGGACTTTTATTATTACGTAAATTATAGTTTTTTTTCATCAATGTTACTGTATAGCGTGTGAGGAGCTGGTCACAATTCACATATCGTCTGCATCAATGCAGATGGTCAGGAATGAGGCCTGGTACATAAATGGATTTCTCAATAGGGTGAAAATTTGCAGCCGAATGAAGAGGATGCTAAATGGGACTTTATAGGTGTAATTTAGTTTTGCATAATTTTGCATACATTTATGCATGCACTTTACTGGGAGGGAAGGGGTTCATTTATATATTCACAACTTTTATTTTAGTTATAAATATAGGTCTTTCATATATCATACGCATAATGGCATTTTTCCACCCACACAATGATTTTCTACCAGCTGTAAACTTAATCCTACCCTAGCCTCTCCTTCCTACTTATTGCAATACATAGCTAAAATGATGCATCATACTTATTTTATTATTTTATTTTCTATTTAATTAATGTATAAAGCTGGAAAAACAGGTCAATTTTAATCTGCAGTATGTGTTAGCTTGTCCCTGGCTGATTTAGTTAGTGAATACATTGTATTCAAAGTTACAATTTCCCCAAAAATTATCTGTCAAACTCATTATATATTCTAAACACCGAAAACAGCGTTTAAATATCAATAATAATCAAAGGGCTTTCAGCTTTCGCACATACAAAGTAAAAATAAAATTTTTATAATTGATTTATTATACCTTGAACTTCAACCTACACATATGTTTTTTAACTTATTACTTGTGGAGTAGAGCTATAATTGAATTGGTATACATAATGCTATGACAAAAAGGTGTAAACCACAAGAAAAAGCTAATATTTAACAAACTTCATAAATGAGCGCTAAATATAGCAGCAATTCAGTCTGTTTATGACTTCCTTTGTCTTCTGAGAGCGGTAAATAAAAAAGATATTGATGGCGTGTGTCTGCCCCTCCTAAACCAAAAATCTACAGGGATCAGTGGTGTAATTCAAAACCTTTCGCAGCTGTATTTTAATGTATCTGCTTCCGTTTCAACAAAGTTACTACAAACAACAATGCACACTGATATCAAACCAAAGTAAAATTCAAAACCAAATAATATTTCTAATATTGCTACTGCTAATATTGCAATACATAGACCGTGTTGGCCTAAATTAACCGGGTTAAATCAAGGGGTAATCATGCTTGAAACATGAAACATTTACAGATTGTCAAAAAGTTTAAAAATACAGTTTGATATTACATGATGATTTTCTGCAATACCAGCTGGTGAGAGTAAGAAACATGACAAAACACAAGTTATTCAACCAATTATTGTGATGGTGTTTTCAAAGCTGTATTATTCAGTTAATTGGTGGCCCAGAAGAACCTTCATTGTGCACCTTAGTGTGAACCACAATGTGTTACAGAGAGCTCATAAAAATTAGGATTACGTAAATTGTACCCTGAATATTGGAAATAGAGTACCTTAAAATATTAGGGTTTGATTTAAATTAGAATTAAATTAATTCAATTTGAGATTCACTTTGAATTTACATTGAATTCTTGCTGTTGGAATGATCACATGGCTATTCTTGATCCATAAGGCCATGGCACTACAACATATGTGAAGATATAAAGTGGGTGATTAAATAATCTATTTCAAGAGACACTTTAGGCCACTATAGGATTGGATAGGTTATGATGCAAGGAGTCTTTGGGCATCTTTCCTCATTTCTTTTCAAACGGGTTTCATCTGGTTAGACAGAAACCATTGCTGAAAGTTGAAGGTTGGACTAATTTTGTCCAATGGAGGTATCAAAATACTTAAAATGGTTTTACAATCAACACAGCACCCAAAGACACACTGCAATATATCTACTGCAATAAGTTGAAGTGGTTATCATGCTTAGAATTTCCTTTAAGTCAAAATTCTGATTTAATATACTCCATTTGAATTAACACATTCACAAGTCTGAGCCAGGGAGGGTGCGACTGCTAGGTGAACTAGGCAGCCGCCTAGGGAACACCGGCCCAGGAGGAGCCGTCTACAGGTGATTGGTAGGAGGGTCACTGCACAGCACTCCCCTCCTGCCCGTCACTGTATATAGTGTGGCTGAGCCACAGACAGCTGTTGAGGATCTTCTGAAACAGAGACACTGGGGGGACAAAGAGACACAAAGAGGACCTGGGGGGAACAAAGGGACACACAGAGTGCTGGAGGGAGGACAAAGAGGAGCTTAAATGGGACAAAAAAGTCACATCTAAGGGATGGGGGAAGAAAGAGACACACAAAGTTGGCAACTTTTGCTTAGGGGTAGAGTCCAAGTAGCTGGTCTTGCCTAGAATGCAAAATAGTCTCGCACAGCAAAATAGTCTCACACCAGACGGTGTTGACGGAGACCCCCTCCCTACATATCCCATAAGCGGGGATTATACCGCTGTACGCTATCCACACCAGAGCTGGCCATAGCTCTCTTGAATGTGAGTTCTTTACTTTTTGTTACCTATCACACCCTGAACTTTCATACTATACCATTAGTCGCTTCTACCTCTCTTGTATTTACATATACGGAACGGTCTACACTAGACGCATCCACAGAGGAACTCTATCAAGTATCCTAGACCATCTATTGGCACCCTAGCAATACTTTACTGGACTATCTACCCTTATTTGGCGCAGCCCTTCCATATCTTTTTGTATCTATCCACCGAAGGACCCGAGGGGTTTTCCTTCATTTGGGTTGCTGCCTACCTTGACTAATTTTGTGATTACTAGCGCTGAATTCTTTTTGTGTTTAGCTAACAGTTTGTCTATAACTACTGACAATGTAAAGAGCAATAAAGATGTCAAGGCTTCCATTTGTTAAAGTGCATTTGTCCTGCCTAACCTGACTTGATGCCTTTTTAAAGCTCTAAAAATCCAATATATACATACAAATAACCAATTTTCTAGCAAATGTATAGGTGAAAAGTTCATTTCTTCTTTATGAAGTTTGGCCCTTCGTTTGCTTTAATCTCCATGCCTGTTAAGTCCAGGGTACCGTGCTGTCTTTAGACTCTTCAGGTAAGTTTAGCTTTTAGTCTATACACTTGATGGCAAACTTCATCTAGTCTGACACAACAGACATATTTGATAAACCTAAACTGTAAGAGACAGCCACATTGAACCTGACAATCGAAGGGTAACTGTGTGAACAAAATGTATTAAGGGTTAGTCCAAGAATCATAACAACTTCAGCCCGCTGTAGCAGTTTTGAGGCCAGGAGTACACTGGATCCATTTTCCGGTAATGGGGCAAACCATTTTGCATAGTTTGCACTCTTACCTGGGTACCCAATGGGCATAAGGTTCCTCCAGGGGCTAGAGATGACTCACAGAAGCCAAAAGCAATGCCGCTGGAAAGTGTCAGCTGACCGCTCAGTGAATGCAATCTGTGCATAGACTCCAAACACTAAAACCACTTCAATTCACTGATGTGGTCATGGTGCTTGGAGTAACCCTTTATGGAGTTGATACTGCCAAATCTTCCTCAGACCTATTTTATATAGGACTAGACTAGTATAGTTCAAGGGCAACCAAAGACACTGGCACTGCAAAGCAGATCATTTAATTTACTGCCAAAATCATTGAACAAAGTGGTTGCCCGGATCTTTGGGTACATGAAATCAAACAACCTAGAAGCAGACAGGAGCAGGGCCAGATTTACATCTCTGTTACTTGCTTCATTATCTGGGCAGGCTCCCCTAAAGATAGATGACATAGTCAGTTGCCTATACTTCCTTTTGGCAAGCTGACCCTACGCAGGAGAGAATGGGCTATCCTACCTCGCATTGACTGTCTCCTGAAGTGAGACAAGAAAGTATAAATAAGAAATGACTTATGGAGTTGAGCATGGGATGTGATGTTTTAGAAGGGAGATGAGGACACATAATTGGTAAGGACAGGAAGTGAATGAGAGCTTCCTCCTTAGTGTTAGCAAGGACATAACCTGGTATAGTATAGGGGGAGAAATTGGGGAAAATTCCAATGAAGAAAGTGTGCAAACACAACTATGTGCTGGCTGCATTAGAGCTGCTGTAGTACTGGCCATATACACACTAAAGGTTATAGGTAGGTATGACATCAGGCAATAGAGTTACAGTAATAAATGACTCATGTTTAATGGTCCCTTATAAAAAATATTGTGGTGAATACATTTCTATGATGTATTTACCACACACCCACTCCAACTGGAGTGAAAATGAAAAGTACACATATCATGATTATACTCCAATGTAACTACAAGGCATAAACATTATCTACAAACCATGACCTAAGTTACCTGCCCTTGGTATGCCATACATACATTATTATTTTTGCAGTCGTCATTTGCTCCCATAACTGCATTGCAAACACAGTATACAGAGGCACATATATACCCAGTGTTCCACTGAATGAGGCTCATAAGGACAGCTATTCACCCAATGTTCAGTGGGATCCGTTTTACCCCTTAAAGGGACACTATAGTCACCAGAACAAATACAGCTTATTGTATTTTTTTTCTGGTGAGTAGAATCATTCCCTTCAGGTTTTTTGCAGTAAGCACTGTCTTTTCATAGAAAATGCAGTGTTTACATTACAGCTTAGTGATACCCCCACTGGCCACTACTCGGATGGCCACTGCCATTCAGTCTCTCCACGCTCTGCATTTCTGAAAGTCTTTTCTGACTAAACTGAATTATTAGACAGTCCACATAATCCTGCATTCTGTATTAATCCAGGGTTTCTTGCCTTCCACCCCTAAGTTTAACACACACAAAACATTCCAGTCTTCAATAGTAAGTACATTATTTTATAAATTATTACAGTTTAAATGAACCCAGCAGTTAGTCAGATAGTTCTTCTATGGGATAGTGAGCAGTGATACAGTGGTTGTCAATGCCAGTATGGTCCCCATTTACTGTTGCTATGGAGTTCTATTGATTTGAAGGGCAGTAAGTATCAGAGCTCACATCTTTACCTGGAATCCTATATATATTAAACAATGAATACAATGGGGGTATGGAGTGTATTCATTCATTTGAAAGGCAGTAAGTAGCAGTAAGTATCAGAGCTCCCACCCTTACCAGGAATCCTTTGGATATTAAGCAATAGATTCAATGTGACTATGGAGTGCACCCATTGATGTTCAGGGCAGTTAATAGCAGTAAGTAGCAGAGCTCCCATCCTTACCTGGAATCTTGTATATTAAGCAATAGATACAATGTAACTATGGAGTGCCACCATTGATGTTGAGGGCAGTTAATAGCAGTAAGTAGCAGAGCTCCCATCCTTACCTGGAATCCTGAATATTAAGCAATAGATACAATGTGACTATGGATTGCCCCCATTGATGCTGAGGGCAGTTAATAGCAGTAAGTATCAGAGCTCTCATCCGTACCTGGAATCCTGAATATTAAGCAATAGATACAATGTGACTATGGATTGCCCCCACTGATTTTGAGGGCAGTTAATAGCAGTAAGTATCAGAGCTCCCATCCGTACCTGGAATCCTGAATATTAAGCAATAGATACAATGTGACTATGGAGTGCCCCTGTTGATGTTCAGGGCAGTTAATAGCAGTAAGTATCAGAGCTCCCATCCGTACCTGGAATCCTGAATATTAAGCAATAGATACAATGTAACTATGGAGAGCCCCCATTGATGTTGAGGGCAGTTAATAGCAGTAAGTAGCAGAGCTCCCATCCGTACCTGGAATCCTGAATATTAAGCAATAGATACAATGTGACTATGGATTGCCCCCATTGATTTTGAGGGCAGTTAATAGCAGTATCAGAGCTCCCATCCGTACCTGGAATCCTGAATATTAAGCAATAGATACAATGTGACTATGGAGTGCCCCTGTTGATTTCCAAGGTAGTTAATAGCGGTAAGTAGCAGTAAGTATCAGAGCTCCCATCCTTACCTGGAGTCCTATGGATATTAAACAATAGATACAATGTGACAATGGATTGCCCCCATTGATTTTTAGGGCAGTTAATAGCAGTAAGTAGCAGAAAGTATCAGAGTTCCCATCCTTACCAGGAATCCTGTATATTAAGCACTAGATACAATGTAACTATGGAGTGCCCCCATTGATTTTGATGGCAGATAATAGCAGTAAGTAGCAGTAAGTATCAGAGCTCCCATCCTTACCAGGAATCCTGTATATTAAGCAGTAGATACAATGTAACCATGGAGTGCCCCCATTGATTTTGATGGAAAATAATAGCAGTAAGTAGCAGTAAGTATCAGAGCTCCCATCCTTACCAGGAATCCTGTATATTAAACAATAGATACAATGTAACTATGGAGTGCCCCCATTGATTTTGATGGCAGTTAATAGCAGTAAGTAGCAGTAAGTATCAGAGCTCCCATCCTTACCAGGAATCCTGTATATTAAGCACTAGATACAATGTAACCATGGAGTGCCCCCATTGATTTTGATGGAAAATAATAGCAGTAAGTAGCAGTAAGTATCAGAGCTCCCATCCTTACCAGGAATCCTGTATATTAAGCACTAGATACAATGTAACCATGGAGTGCCCCCATTGATTTTGATGGAAAATAATAGCAGTAAGTAGCAGTAAGTATCAGAGCTCCCATCCTTACCAGGAATCCTGTATATTAAACAATAGATACAATGTAACTATGGAGTGCCCCCATTGATTTTGATGGAAAATAATAGCAGTAAGTAGCAGTAAGTATCAGAGCTCCCATCCTTACCAGGAATCCTGTATATTAAGCACTAGATACAATGTAACCATGGAGTGCCCCCATTGATTTTGATGGAAAATAATAGCAGTAAGTAGCAGAGCTCCCATCCTTACCAGGAATCCTGTATATTAAGCACTAGATACAATGTAACCATGGAGTGCCCCCATTGATTTTGATGGCAAATAATATCAGTAAGTAGCAGAAAGTATCAGAGCTCCCATCCTTACCTGGAATCCTGTACAGACTGTGGCTATGCAGAGTTGGACGTGCTCCTGAGCCGCTGTCCGTGTTGCTGGACCAGGTGCTGCTGTTTCTGCCTTGTGGACCTCACAGCCAGAATAGCCTGTCTGTTCTTATACTGCACCATCTGCAGCGTGATCTCAGCGTTCCAGCCTTCATCCTGCGGGCACCGAAAATCTATCTCCCTCCCCTCAGCCATCACCACCGTGAAATACACATATTTCCCTTTCCTCTCCACGCAATCCACCGTCTTCATGTTGGAGAAGTGGAGCTCTTTAATCCTGGCAGGCTCCGGAGGGGAGCTCTGCTGCTGCTGTGGTTGCTCCAGCTGTTTGGGAGGGATGAGGAGAAGACCTTCCTCGGTGAGGAGACACCGCTTCTTCTTCCAGAGCTGCAGCAAGCCATCGCTCCTCTTCTCCAGGAGCCCTTCCTTCACCACCTTGCAGCTGCTCTCCAGCATGTTCCTGGATGGATACAGTTGCCAGCGATGGAACCTTGCCTTCCCCAAGAATGTGCAGGATGACTTGAGGAGTGCTATCCAATGGGAGGGCAGGATCTGAAAGGGAATCATTAACAGTGAGACAGTAACAATGCAGAGTGCCTGGCAGGCAGCAATCAGAGCTCAGCTTCAGTGGGCTGAGTGTGACAGCAGCAATCAGCAGCTGCAGTCTGCTGTGACTCAAAGCTTACCCTGCCTGGTGCTTTCCCAGGAAGATGGCGTTTAGCAGACTGTGTGTGAGAGCGCCACCTGCTGCCCGAATGTGTTAATGGCACCTTTACCATACAGATATTGTTAGTTTGAGTTTCTAACTAAATTCACTAATACAGAATACTGGGGTTATTAGCCAACAGTAAATATTTGTATCCCATGGGCTGAGCTGACCCTGCCCTGACAAGATCCTGTGACCCTGATGTTTGACCAGTTACTGTAGACACTCTCTCAAAACACCAACCAATGATTGCCATAACATAAAGTAAGCTCAACATTTGATTTTCAAGAAATCCTACACAGATTTTTTTTAATGTATTCTAGGTTTCCACGTGAGCAATATCTGTCTCTCTGCAACCACTGTACAGGTGTATAGCTCACATTGCCGTATCTAGGTACATGCTGGTTGTTGTGTCATTTTAATTTGGTTTAAATTGGTATATACCACCTTGCCTGTCTATGGTTGCAAGAAAGTACTGCAATTTATTCACTAAACTGGGAATTTTGGAAAGTTGTCAATGAAAAAAAAAAAAACAGTATCCCAAAATAGCTGAGTGTGTTTGGTTGGGGGGGTTAGGGAGGGAAGATCAGCTATTGGAGAATTCTCAGATTCCTTTATTTTCAACTAATATTTGCATTCCCCTCAATAATTCTACTTTGTTATCCCATTTTATTGAATAACCTCACTATTCTATCTATACTTTAATGCCATGGAAACATTGTAGTGGAAATGGTACCCGTATAAGACTGCAGAATTTCATAGACAGGGACTTCAATTTCTCCTAACTACACTCCATTTAGTACATCCCACCTCTCCCCTCACAAATAGTGTAGAAGTGTAATTCTTTGTATTTGGCTTTTTTAACATTTAATACAATATACTGTATCGCTGTACTTTAACAGTAGGAACTCAATTCATAAGATTACATTTATCAAACCTTCTACCCACCATCCAGCCCTTACTGTATTCAGCTGAAAGTATTTACCAAAAGATGATTCCAGTTATTGTTGCACAACGTTCTACTGTAAGAAACAAAACCGTGTATGGCTAATTAATCCAAGCCAGAGCCTTCTGCCAGTTAATTTCATGCTTGTATTTTAACTGTCTGATAGACTATTGTTTCCAACCTGTGACTTTTTCTGTTATCTACACACATAACATATGTTGTACTAGATACGTTTTGACACTACCTCGGTGTTATTGGTCTAATTTATAGCCTTGAGTGAATTGATTTTCCAGTAGGAGTTAATATCCGCAAAGACAAAAAGAAAATTTTTCTTCATTGCTGATTAAGCTGGGCCAAAAGTCATTTTCTGCAGTCAAGGAGGAAATGCAAACTGTAAACATTTCAGTGTAAAAAATGTACAGTTATGCATGAACAGAAATGGATTTATTGCATATTTAAAGTTTGCAGGTTTTTTTTTTTTTTAAGGAACATAAAGCGCTTCTGTATATTACTTCAACCATTGGGACTTACTATGTTAAAGAAAGTGATAAACTATTAAGTGATTGGCGATTTTATTGCAACCGCGAGTTTACAGTTGTTTGAAGAGGTCTGTCAGCCCCATCTCTTCCTGTATGTCCGACTTGTCTTGTTGCAATTACTTGTTTTTCAGTCCACCTATTGTACAGCGCTGCAGAACATGGCGGCGCTTTAGAAATAATAACAAGCACCTTTTGATAGAGTGCATCAGGTTAGCGCACTAACTATGAGCATAGGCTTACAGCGGCAAAATATTTATGTCTTAATGACATTTCGTAAAAGTAACCTGGAACCATTTTAAAATCAGCATTTTAAAAGCACCATTTTGTCCGTCAACATTGCAACCGAACAGTAAAGGAATATCAGGGACTTAATTAAAACCACACTGTACAGGGTCTGTGCCAAGTTTCTATATTCCTTTAAAAATCTGTCTCCATGCTGTACCTGTAACTAATTTTATGACCATATGTAGCTCCTCTGTGTGTGCTTGCCATGTTACGGATTTTTTTCCTGTGTACATTATTATTACTGTTGCTTAAACCCCATAAGGACCAATAAAGTGCCATGCTGTCATCAAGAAGCATGCTGAGTCAGCACTAAATGCCCTGCTTATTTTGCATCAACCGCTCTATGCGGCTATGCTGCTGCTGATAAATGACTGGGACTTTGCAATTTGCTATAGGATCTTTAAAGATTAATTTGTAATCAACACACATTTCTTTCCATCACTAGTTAGAAATAATTTACCAGGTTCAGATTCAAGCTATAAACACCCCCAAAATGCACATAATGTACTGGACTAAAATATCATACACATGTTTAAATTAATAATTCCTCCCTCTTTATCTTGATGGCAATAGTATCAAGATTTTTCCTTAACAAAGTGTCACCCAGGATACGGGAATGAGAGCGTCCTTTAATAATTAAATAGATGAGTATGTGTACAATAATATCAAACACATTATTATTAGTAGTAGTATTATTTATATAGCGACTAGTTATTCCGCAGCGCTTAACAATTTTATGAAAGGGGGAAATTTAACAATAAATGAGACATTTACAAAAATGATAGAGGAATAATAGGTAGTTGAGGACCCTGCTTAGACGAGCTTACAGTCTGATACCAAACATAATGTTGACAAACCAAACCACTCTAAATATTTCTTCCTTCATTGTTTTTTTATTATTCATAAAGCGCCAGCAAATTCCATATTTATATAGCGCTCCCCCCTACACCCAAGCTAAACACACAATATTATTTTGATTTTACTAATAGTTCCTTCTCAATCTCGCTATAAAAGACAAGTTTAAATAAAGAAAAACGCCTAAATAACATAGCTCTATTTTTACTTTATATAAACCCTACCAAAGATGCATCCAATGGGTTAAAATCAGACAAAGGTGCTGAGTACTTACTTGGCCAGGGTTTTCAATAATCAATGGATTATCAGTCGATATAATATAGAACATATAGATTATAATCCGAGCCTGCGATTCAAGCTAACAATGAGACAAAGTAAAATCTTGTGCCTCTTTTTTTGTCCTGTGAGACTAGAACAGCTGCAGTTCCCTGCCTTCTGTCAAAGTATCTTCCCCACTTGCTTTTTGAACCAATCTCCGCCCACAGAAAGCGCAGAGCAGAAAGGATCCAACACACATTTTGAGAATGGATGTTGCAAGAAAAACCACAGGGCAGGGACTGAAGAGGAAGACTGGGGGAGGAGGGAGCGAGCATGCAGTCATATTGCTAAATCAAAGACCATTCATCATTTCTGTCCACATAACTTCATTAGTGCTCCTCTGTGAGGTGACATAGAAGACGCACAATTTGTCTACGTAGAGTAAGGATGGACTCCTAAAGGGAAATGTCTCACCAGGTTGTTTATTACTGAGTAACGTCAAAATTCTTACCATGGGAATGCAGACTGCTGTGGAAATAACCGCATGTTTTATGTAAACATTCCTCTTTTATTATTAGCTCACACTGTAACTCTCCCAGCTGCAAGTGGCACTTGTTTCCGCTTTCTAACCCTTGGAATGAGTATCCTATTTCTCCGTCCCCAGTCATTACTTTTATTGACATTTTTATGGCTCGTGAGAAAATGTGATGATAAAATATGGAAATAAACTAACATGGCATTTTGGTAGAACAAGTCAATGAAAGCCATGGTTCTGCTATCACTCATCTATCTAGAACAGGTTGGGTCATCTCTTGGGCAAACTTAGATTGTACTCAGGTCTAAGCACTCCACAAAGCCACCATGATCTAAGAAGCTCGGTACTCCCGAGATAAGTTCTTGTTGAATTTGAATTAAGAATCTTCTCAAAATAGACTTCATATACTCAAGAACACAATTGAGTTTAACTGAAAAACCACAGAGCCACCATGATCTAAGAAGCTCAGTATTCCAGAGATAACTTCTTGTTGCATTTTAATTAAGTATCTTCTCAAAATGGACTTCCTATGTTCAAGTACCCCATTGAGTTTAATTGAAAAGTGTACATTTTTTTACGTGTTATTGAATATCTAAGACAAGGGTAAAATTGCACCTGATATGTATCAAAAGTTAGGAAAACTTGGGTCAGCTCCATCTGAGAAAGTAAGAGTTAGTTCATCGATAGGGCACCTCATTATGTGTACATGTCTTGTGTGGAGCCACCCAAAATACTGGACTGCAAAAAACACCTTTACCTTCAGGTCGGCAGAGTCCTCACTTCTTACTATCCATTGTTATGTGTTTGTCCTTAATTTTTGTCCTTTTCCTCAATATTGGATTTTGGTCTGTTTTAAATGGGATATTAGCAAACCGATTGGCAGCTGCTCTGTTGGTTTGCCTGACTGTGCACCCCGGCTCATAAAAAACATGAAGAATTGATGTTGTATGCACTTTGTTAATGCAGCTGTGAACATTTAAGTTAAATGAACCGTATGAAACAGCAGAAGAGACAAGAGATGCAAGTTTTGTTTTAAACAATATTTAGATGGTTCTTGTCAATTTCCAAGAGTATTATTTCAATGTAACATTGGGGTAACACACCAGGTTATGTTTAATATATCCTTAAGGTTTGGAAAAAGGTAATGTTCTGCCCTTCTGCACCCAGAATGGAATGAAGGCATAACATATGAGGCAATCAAGAATATTGCTTGTTTTGTAGCTTGTTGCTTGTTTATATTTTCAATTTATTTCCAGTAAACATTAAATGAAGACTCTTTGTCCAAAAATATATATTTTTTAAATGTATGTAATCAATCGTTACAAGAAAATATACATAACCTAATATTTGCACAGAGATTTCCTTTACCCTATAGACGTACCTTTCATTAACCGCAAAACAAGCCTAACGAAGAACCAAGTTAAGTTTTTTTATTTACCTAGAAGTCAGAGAATTAAATTGCCTGAGAGCCTAGCATCAACACCTTTGACATTGTGAGCATAATATGTCCAGCCATGAGCATCATGTCCAAATCGTATGGGGTAAGCATCCTATGTGTGCTGATACCAGACACAAAACATGCACAGAACTTATATCGCCAGGTAGGAAGAGAGTGCTCCAACTGGCTGATTGACAGCAAAGGTGGGTGGCCCTACTCACAGAATAAAAGCTGTTATATCTATCTCTGGAATCATTTAAAAAAAGCAGGGATAGGGTCTTAGTCGTATAACCACTTAAGTAAGATAAAGCGGTTATGGTGCTTAGAGTGAGTAATTTTGTACTACATATGCTTAATTGTTCCTTCTCAGTTTTACAATATTTTCAAAGTACCATGCCATAAGTTTTGGTGTTATTTTATAGGGAATCAAATTTAAAGGACGACTAGAGCCACCCAGACCACTTCGTCTGAATAAAGTGTTAAAGTGAACAGGGTGCAGCGTCCCCTTAGTTTTAACCATGCTATGCTTACATTGCACGGCTATATATGCCTCTAGTGGCTGTCTACCTGACAGGCACTAGAAGCGTTTCCACTTTGAGAACTGAGTCAAACAAACACTTTGTTCTAACAGCTAACCTCCATTTCATTGGAGGAACATTGGATTGGATGAAAGAAGCATCTGTGTGACGTCGTAGGAGGTAGTACCTGCAGGTACTGAATCTCAGTGGTGTTAAAAAAGGCAATTAAAGCCATTGATTCCTGTTTTTATTTAGATTTGGGGGTGGGAGGGTTGGCCTGAATCTATATAAAGACAAGACAATAGCATTAGAAATAAGAGGTTTGTATTCCTAACACTGTACTGTTCCCTTAAACTAGATTTAATTCATCATATAGGTCTTAATGCTGGAGTTAGCTATTAAATAGACTTGACAGATGTCTGTAACCGCATACATTAAAAAGAACCTTAGCCTCAGAGTGTGTATATATTTATGCATGTATGTATATATAGACACATTTAGGAGGTGTTTTTATTTGTCAACTTGACATAAATTGGTTGTTTTGTAAGTGATTCCAAGGATATAATTACCATGAAGGGCTATAGATCACTGGCTGAATGACATTGAAGTATACAAGGCATTATTTAAGGGTCACCATTAATAGAAGCTTGGTTGAAGGTTTCGTGTCACCTCTAGCAGACAACATAAGCTATTGTGAGAATCTCAATAATGCATACACAGTCGAGAAGTGCTGAGCGGGGTAAATGAGACAATGAAATTCTGCACGCATTGCCGTGAATGGAATCATAGGATATTTCATCAGCATACACATACTAACACAAAACATCCATGAATTAATATACATTTCAGCAGGCCTCGCTGAAAATAAAATTAGAGATGTGTTTCTTTTTTATCATTTGTACTAGTGGTAGGGATTTTATTTTGGTGTGAGCATGGATTATATTTATAAGTGAACCACATAAATATATTATATATATATATGAACAATTATCATATAATGTATTATATTTCAATAGATGGAGAATCGATTAAACTAGACCACTAGACAGTGAGGTGTTCTGGGTGTCTCTTCTCCATGTTTTGTTTAATGTGATTATTGCTTGTTCAGTAATTATACAGTTAAAGTCATACTTTGTATGCTATTATTAATTGCAATTTGTAACAAGGGAAATTCAAACTGCAGACCTAACTCTTTAACCGGCTTATTTATTAAACAGAGAATTGTGGTAAATGATAAACTGAATTCCAATATTAAGGCTTAACTAGCTAAGTTTTCACTTTAGCTAAACTAGAGGATTTCTCCAAATCAGCACTTTTTTCCTATATTTTGCAATCCAGTTTTCAGTTCCCTATAAGTCACTGTTTAGTGCAGGCTTCCCCAAACTCCGGCCCTCCAGATGTTGCTGAACTACAACTCCCATGATTCTACTAATTAAATATATAGGCTGAGAATCATGGGAGTTGTAGTTCAGCAACATCTGGGGGGCCGGAGTTTGGGGAAGTCTGGTTTAGTGAATAAATCCTCAAACTGGAAATATTGCCCGTTTCACATATTTTAAAACCTTGGTTATTTTACCTAAAACAATTTTGCAACTCCCTGTCACTTCTCATTAATTCCTATTTTAGTGGATGATTTGAATTTGTCTGGATTGTAAAAGACTACTTTATAGTATTAGAAATATTGGTAGATAAGCATTTATTTTCACACCTTGTCACGTAAATGCCAAATCCATCTACAGAACTTCATCTGCGGGCGGAATTCAAAAACGACCACTCACATGTTTAATAAAGATTGAGTTTAGTTTAACTTCAGAACATTCTAAATGACACATTAATAATTGCTATTATTTCCTATTATAATACTAGTAGCTTTTATATAGAAATACCAAAAAACTTTAGTGAATAAATGTATCACGTTGTTAAGAATTATGATTGATTTAGAATAAATATGGGTAATGTTATACCAGTAATTTCTCAAACTATTGCATGACTTTCTTACATTCCATGTCACAATCCACTAGGGTCATTCGTTAAAAATCCAAACTGTAGTATTCAGTCAAAAATAGCCAAGCTATCAATAAAGCTGAGTTAGGGAACTTTACCAGATCATCGCCTATATTTTGCCATTCTGATCTTAATTCTGTACAATTTGGATTTTAATGACAAAAGATACTCAGATTTAAATCACAATAATCTGCAGTGAGCTATCACCAAACCAAGAAGTAACAGGCTCTATGTTGCTTCGCTCATTACGTAAGCAGTGCAGTAAAGATATAGAAAGTCTTTCAATGTCTCGTAGTTACATTGAAAGCTTGATACTGTAGAATGCTAACAGCTGAACTCCCAGAAACTCCCAGTTATGATAGTCACGACCAGTATCTAAATGGAGTGCCCCATTAATCTGCTTTAAAAAGTAACCTAACAACTTACTGAACTATCAGTAATCATAGACATAAAGGGGGAAATTTATCAAGTTAAACACAGGTGCTATTTGGGGACAAAGTACTAAATTGGTGCAGTCACCATGGCAACCAATAGAATGCATCTCAACATTTATCCTTTTCCAGTGTGAATAGCACCTGGTTTGCCTTGATAAATCTCAATCAATGTGTTTTCCTTGCGCAAATTGCTTCCGTCTAATTATGGCCCTTTTATGCTAACAGGACTTTAGTAAGATTGTATTAGCTCCTTACAGGTGCTAACAAATTTGTTGAAAGCGTCAGTGGCAACGAAGAAACTAATTGTAATGAGCTGAGGAGGTTAGGAAATAGAGTATTAGAGTTTGACATTTTGATTAGGTCTGGACACTATTGCTGTGCTGTGTGCCAAATCGGTTAGCAGTGGAAGGATTAAAGGTATAAGAGTCCCCACAGGGAGAGAGAGAGAAGCATTTCACAAGATCGATTGCAATTTTTGCATGCTACGCTTTAAATAAGAATGAGACATTAAAATAGGCATCTAATCAGTAAGGACATGTGTTCCAGTATTATATCCTAATTTGTCAGTAATAGAATCTTGTAGGTGAGGAAGCAGCATGACAATGCAGAGTAAAAGTATAGCCCAATGGATAAAAGAATATTAAATACTAACCGTGTAATCACTAGGATGGATGGATAGATGGACGGATAGACAAAGCAGATAACTGAAATGATCCAAAACTGAGATGCCTTCCAAGTATGTCAATCTATGCTGGCAATTTAAAGGAACACTTCTGGCTGAAGTTCGACCCGTATTTAATGATGCCCGGGGTTTAATGAGCCCCTTTTTAATGTACTATAGAAATTATTAATTACATGTGAAAATAAGTAAATAAAAAATACTTTGACCGTTTTCACGTTTTGCTGCAGATGTTCAGAATTTGCAATTGATACAGTGAACTCTGTCCAGGCGAAAATAAAAAACATTTAGCAAGTTGTGACTCCCATGATGTTCAATGGGAAAGTAGAGCTATCCTACATGGGATATGGGACTGGAGAGAAACAGATCTTACTTACAGTCTATTCACAGTCAGCACAATAGGGAAAATGGTTACCATGTTTACTAAGGGAATTTGTTGGTGCTATATAAATAATAACATAATAATAATAATAATAATAATAATAATAATATCTCTCTCAGGTACTATTGAATAAATACATTTATTTTTTTTATTTAGTGACTGTCACCTAACCATCATTCATTTTTATTTTATTTTGGTGCCAAGCGTAGAACTCTAAACTCGCTCATCTATTGCTCATTTCAGTTGTTTAGTGATTCGTTCATGTAGCAATTCAGAGTTACAAAACTCAGACGACCCGCCAAAATGATCGGCCAAAATTTGGACGTATCGCATTTTCTTTGAAAACAAATGCCCATGTCTAATATGAGGTGCCTTCCTAAACCCTTCACTATAATAAGAACCACTTAGTGTGATAACGTGTTTTAACACTTATCCAAATTAATCTAATGTTGCCAGTTCGTATATTGTGCCCATAGAGATTAACATCCACTGAAAATATAAACTCATAAAATTACCAAAGCAAAAAAAAAAAAAAAAAATTGAAGCGAATTCAACCACAAACAACATATTAGATCTGGTCAACATTGCGCCTGTGAAAAAAATTAAATAAAGTGCTTTAGCACACATGTACCGTTATGTGTTATCAGAGGAACCAGATTTTATTTCCTGGTTGTTGTTCCCAACCATTGCTCATTTACTTAGACATTTTTCTAAAATTTTGGCTGGAAAGTGACACGCATTTATTTACTGCTTTTTTTACCCCTCAACACATCTACCAAACCCAGTGACTTGTAAACACTGGGAAATAAGACTGTGCATTGGTCCAATATTTGTTACTCACGGCTAAGCTATTTGTAGATCAGTGGGAATTGGCAACAAACAGTAAGAGGCATTTGGCTGCCCTTTAACTGCTCTCTAAGGGGGGGGGGGGGCAGGATCAGCTGAGATAGTATTTATAGACAGTAGTTGTAGCATCCCCAAAACCATAATATCATCATTGTGTCACTATGGATGTGCAAAAGAACAATTCATTTACCCCATGGAGTCACTTAGTACATGGGGAACATGAACTCACATAACTACGTAAAATATATGTATTTTACTTGCAGCACATGCAATGTAACACTAATGGGAATGCAAGGCAGGAAATCCAGCTGATTAAACACAATTACCAACCATTGAAGTTTAATTACATACTGTTATCATTGTGAATGCAAGGGTGCCATCTGTTGAGCTGTCTGTGTGTAACATTCTCAATTAATATTATCAGAGAAAGACAGAATTAATTCCCTAGGACTGCAGCTGTGGTGATCGGTGATTTAGGCAGAAGGCAAAATGTCTTCTGTCGAGAGACTCGCTTTTGACTAATAACTGAATCGAAAAGTTTGAATAAACTTTAAACTTTTTGATATGTGTTGCATAACGGTCATTTACGGGCAACATTCGGAAAATTATGTCCCACAGTACAAACCGATAAAAAAAGGACATTAGATCAAGATCTGAACTAAGACACAAATGTCATAGAATTTTAGTAATTTTCCATATTTTTTAATTTATGATATCGTGGAATAGGAGACAGAGACAGTACAATTCTGTCTCCCCAGTTCCTTTCAAGTCATATCATTAGCAGGAGAGTGAACTAATTAATTGGAAGAGTTGCAAATAGTGACTGATGCTCAAGACTGCAATTCTTGCTAATCACAAACAGTCTAGAACACAAATGTTCCAGTATTTCTCTAAGTACATAATCCTGAAGCCGGTGTGAAAAAATGCCATCTTGGGGTTCTAAACATTTTCATTATCCACTCAAACATCTGTCTTGTGGTTTATTATGGTTTCCCAAGAACCTCTCAATGGAATAATTTTTCCATAATACAAAGATTATATATGTTCAATAATACACAGATTATATGTATGCAATGTAACAAAGGGCTAGCAATGGTTGACATATTGTGTTCTAAGAGTCCATGGCCAACACAAAGAGCAAAAAAGATAAATAAGCCTACACATTGAAATGTGGGTAATAGTGATAACCATATATGCTAAATCTTGTAGACTGCTATCACCAGTTGTTGTAAACATCCAAAGTTGTTCTGATTCTGAACAGGAAAGTTCTAGCAAATATAGTGAGTACGTCTACACAATAGCAAAATCCCTTGTATCATAGTTACATAGTTACATAGCTGAAAAGAGACTTGCGTCCATCAAGTTCAGCTTACCTCACATTTGTTTTTTGCTGTTGATCCAAAAGAAGGCAAAAACCCCCAGTTTGAAGCAACAAGCTAGGAAAAAAATTCCTTCTTGACCCCAGAATGGCAGTCAGATTTATCCTTGGATCAAGCAGTTATTACCCTACATTGAAAGATTATATCCTTGAATATTCTGTTCTTGCAAGTATGCATCTAGTAGCCGTTCGAACATCTGTATGGACTCTGATAAAACCACTTCTTCAGGCAGAGAATTCCACATCCTGATTGTTCTTACAGTAAAAAAAAAACTTTCCTTTGCCTTAGACGAAATCTCAGAAACGAGGATAGATTGATTTCATAAAACTGGTATCATTTGTATTCATGGGGACAAACAGGAACATAGTACAGCTAAGCTAGTCACATAAAAGTATGTTAAGAATAGAAATTGATAAGGATGTTAAGAATTACTTGTTATTCTTTTTAATGTTCTCCAAAAGGAGTGTGTCAACAGCTTTAATTCCTGGTTGAGAAGCTGACTCATCAAGAGAAAATTATTTGAGTTGATAAAGGTTGCCTTGCCATATAACAGGACCCTTAAATGTCCCAATTTCTGTGTCCAGTTCCTCTGTCCCTATTTAGTTTCATGGTGTCCCACATCCGGCACAATGCATGCTGCACACAGGCACTAGGACCCTGCAGCGAGTACTTCAGTTGCACACTCTGCAAAGGCCTG